GAGGGAATGCCGTGGGGTCAGTATGGATGCTCCAGGACGTGCACCATGATGTCCAGGAGCGCCGGCCAGGTCTCGGTGGCGGTGGGGACGATCTGGGAGCTGGGCAGGAGGAACCCATAGCGGCCCGAATCCCTCAGCTCCAAAGAGAAGGAATATTTGACCCCATTGTCGTAGGCCCAGTCGATGGTGGTGCCTCCTGCCATGTCTGCAGGGACAGGGGGGAGGTGGGAGCCGGTTCCTGCGGGATTTTCCATGGGATGGGGACAGGGACGGGGTGGACACTCACAGATGGTGTTGGCAATGCTGCCRTAGGTGTATTTTGTCCCAAATACAGCGGCCAGGTCGCTCACGGCCTTCTTGGCCAGTTCATTCTGCAAAGAAACCACCAGAAGCAGTGGGATCTGGTGGATCAAGGGGCAGGGGGATCTAGAGCCCATCATTCCCCATCCCTTCTCCTCTCGGTTTTCCCAAAAAACCCTCAGTTTTTGACCTTGCAACCGTTCTCCCTCCAGGAACCAGGTGAAGGGGTTTGACATTCCTGTTTTTTCATGGAACATGAAATCTTTCTCTCAGTCCACTATCTTATCTAAATCTAAATCCATTATCCTATCTAAAASCCATAAATCCTTGGGTTARTTAGGATTTTGCRTTCAGCCAGGGCTCAAACCACATTTTTGGTGCGTTGGCCAGGAAAGGGTTTAAACCACGACAGGCTGCATCTAAGGAGAGGAGCAGGGAGGCTCCCGGGAYGCTCTTCCCAATTTTCCCGGGTCACAGCCCCAATTTTGGGGCCACCTCACCATTTCCTGGTGGTCGGGGTTGGGCGCCATCCTGTACCCGTAGGGGAAGAGCAGCATCTGGGAGTAGCTGTGGATGGAGATGACGGATTTGACGCCGCCGTGGCCGCGGATAAAATCCACGATGGCTCTGACCTCCCGCTCCGAGTGGGGGTGGGGACCGTGGTACGTCTCGGAGCARGGGTTGCTGCTGGAGCTGGCACCTGGAGCACAAAGAAGAAAAATTCCATCCTGAGGAAGGATTTCCATCCCTGGGTTTCTCCTCTTTAGCAGGAAATGTTGATGTTTTGAGGCACAAACRGCCCAGCTCTCACCTCCAAAGCCGGCGTCCCAGTTGCGGTTGGGATCCACCCCGACGCAGCGGGAGCCGGCGTTGATGGACCTGGTCTTGCGCCACAGGCGGTTCTGGAGAGGAAACCGGAGCAGGGATGGGAATCCCAGGAATGGGAGGGAACAACCTCCACCTGCTCCTCATCCCACACCGGGTGGGATTTCCCTCCCCTCCCAAAAACCCCGCAGAGCTGCGGCTGGGACAAAACCCCGCTGCGGTGTCCCCGCACTCACAGAGCTGTGGGTGAAGGCGAAGCCATCAGGATTGGTGACAATCTCCAGGAAGATGTCCATGCTGTCCAGAATGGCCGTGACCGAGGCGTCCCGCCCGTATTCCTCGGCAATCTGCGCACGGAGAGGAGCCGGAGCTGCCCTGGCGCCGCTCGGGGACGGAGCAGCACCCGGGGTGAGATTTGGGGTCCCCGGGGTGTGGGGTCACCTTGTTGGCCGTCCAGACRCCGGTGGCTTGGGTGATCCATTCCCGTGAGTGGATGCCGGTGTCCAGCCAGATGGCCGGGCGGGCGGATCCGCCGGTGCTGAACTGGGATTGTCAAATTGGGAAAAATCTCCTGGATTGAGGAATCCAACCTGGGCAATCCCCACCTTGACCCCAGCCCAGAGCTCTGAGTGTCACATCCAGAAATTYCTTGGAMACCTCCAMGGATGGRCAYTCCAAACCTCCCTGAGCAGCTCCTTCCAAGGCCTGACCACCCTTTCCATGARGAAATTATCCCTAAAATCCACCCTGAGCCTCCCCTGGCCCRSCTCATCCCAAAAAACAGAGGGAATTCCAGGCCAGGCCGCCCCAGGACCCACCTTCAGCACGTACAGGGGTCTGTTCTCGTAGCTCTGCCCGATCTGGATCTTGGAGACAAGGGTGGGATGATCCTCCACCAGGGTGTCCATCCAGCTGTAGATCTGAAAGGAGGAGCTGCTGCCTCACGGGGCTCACCCTGCATCTCACCTTTGGCTTCTGAGGGGACCTGGCACCGAGGAAACAGGTGGAGCTTCCATGGGGAGGACCTGGTTCTTCTGGAGAAGATTTGGTGCTTCCCCAGGGAAAATCTGTTTTTTTCCCTGGAGAAGATTTGGTGCTTCCCTGGGGAAGACCTGGTGCTTCTGGAGAAGATTTGGTGCTTCCCTGGGGAAGATTTGGTGCTTCCATAGGGAAGACCTGGTTCTTCTGGGGAAGATTTGGTGCTTCCATGGGGAAAATCTGGCTTTTCCCTGGAGAAGATTTGGTGCTTCCCCGGGGAAGACCTGGTTCTTCTGGAGAAGATTTGGTGTTTCCATGGGGAAAATCTGGTCATTCCCTGGAGAAGATTTGGTGTTTCCCAGGGGAAGACCTGGTTCTTCTGGAGAAGATTTTGTGCTTCCATGGGGAAAATCGTTTTTTCCCTGGAGAAGATTTGTTGCTTCCCTGGGGAAGATTTGGTGCTTCCATGGGGAAGACCTGGTTCTTCCAGGAGAAGATTTGGTGCTTCCCTGGAGAAAATTTGGTGCTTCCACAGGGAAGACCTGGTTTTTCCCTGGAGAAGATTTGGTGCTTCCCTGGGGAAAATTTGGTGTTTCCCTGGAGAAGATTTGGTGCTTCCATAGGGAAGACCTGGTTCTTCTGGAGAAGATTTGGTGCTTCCCTGGGGAAAATCTGGTTTTTCCCTGGAGAAGATTTGGTGCATCCCTGGGGAAGATTTGGTGCTTCCATGGGGAAAATCTGGTTCTTCTGGAGAAGATTTGGTGCTTCCCTGGGGAAAATCTGTTTTTTCCCTGGAGAAGATTTGGTGCTTCCATAGGGAAGACCTGGTGCTTCTGGAGAAGATTTGGTGCTTCCCTGGGGAAAATCTGGTTTTTCCCTGGAGAAGATTTGGTGCTTCCCTGGGGAAGACCTGGTTCTTCCAGGAGAAGATTTGGTGCTTCCCTGGAGAAAATTTGGTGCTTCCATAGGGAAGACCTGGTTTCTTCTGGAGAAGATTTGGTGCTTCCCTGGGGAAAATCTGGTTCTTCTGGAGAAGATTTGCTGCTTCCCCGGGGAAAATCTGTTTTTTCCCTGGAGAAGATTTGGTGCTTCCCTGGGGAAGATTTGGTGCTTCCATGGGGAAAATCTTTTTTCCTGGAGAAGATTTAGTGCTTCCCTGGGGAAAATCTGGTTCTTCTGGAGAAGATTTGGTGCTTCCCCAGGGAAAATCTGTTTTTTCCCTGGGGAAGATTTGGTGCTTCCATAGGGAAGACCTGGTTCTTCCAGGAGAAGATTTGGTGCTTCCATAGGGAAGACCTGGTGCTTCTGGGGAAGATTTGGTGCTTTCTTGGGGAAAATCTTTTTTTTTCCTGGAGAAGATTTGGGACTTCCCTGGAGAAGACCTGGTTCTTCTGGGGAAAATTTGGTGCTTCCCTGGGGAAAATCTGTTTTTTTTTTCCCCTGGAGAAGATTTGGTGCTTTCTTGGGGAAAATCTGTTTTTTCCCTGGAGAAGATTTGGTGCTTCCCTGGGGAAAATCTGGTTCTTCTGGGGAAAATTTGGTGCTTCCCTGGGGAAAATCTGGTTTTTCCCTGGAGAACACCAGGAGTTGGGACCTCAGTATGAGCAGGAAGAGGCACATCACGAGGTTTTTGCAGAAGGAAAAAGCTCTGAGACTCTCCCAGCAGCATCACAGCCCCAAACTGAGCTCCAAGGACAAGGTGAGACCCCCAAAGCGAAGCTGAAAACATCTCCCATGAGGTGCAAAGTTCCAGGAGCAGCCATGCTGGAAGGGGAAGGTTTTCATCGCCCATCTCAGCTCAAACCTCACCGAGGAGGAGAAAGGAGTCCCTGGGAGGTGTCACCTGTCACCGAAAGTGTCACCACAACCGCCACCACACAGATGTGACCACGGCGTGACCCTGGTAGGACACAGCAAACGCCCTGCACAGGAAGATACCTCATCTAGGGTGTGATAGGAGGAGAAATCAAACGTCCTGGAGCTTCT